TCCTGTTGATTCATTGCAGGAGTCTCAGAAACTGTTGTTCTTAACATGTCTACGCTCGTGTGGTCAGTAGTAACTACTGTTCAAGGGCGTGTACCTATTGCTAGTGAGGTATTTTACTTTGAAGAACTTCTGCAGTCTACCAGAATTTCTGCAATTAATGTTCACTAAGTATGCATTTCGTTGCAATTCAAACGGACAAAACGTAGTGAGAGATTCAAATTAGTTATGTGATTGTGTCCTTTTCAGGGCTTGAGTGTGGTCGTAGGCTCTTACAATGGTGAAGATATACTTGTATCTTTTGGAGGATATAATGGACGTTACAGCAATGAGGTGAGAATAGAATTTATATAGATTTGTAGCTTTTAGTATGTTGTTTCTTAATCTTATTTTCTTTTCCCCGCCCTTTCTGTTTTTCCCCCTGTTTTGTTTAGGTTAATGTTCTGAAACCAAGTCACAAGTCAACCTTACAATCAAAGATGATAGAAACTCCTGTGCCTGACAGTGTTTCTGCTGTGCAAAATGCTACAAACGCTACTAGAGATTTGGAATCTGAGTTGGAAGCTGGCCAAGATGGAAAGACAAGGGAAATTGTGGACAATGTGGACTCAGACCCCACGGTTTGTACCATTGATAATTTTGGTCTTTCATTGTAGTCCTTTTGAAATATGCTTACAAAATATCTGCTATCTGCAATATTTGATGGAGTGTCTTGCTTTGTTTTATGTATGTATGTATGAATAAAATGAATAAACACTTGTATTTGTTTGTTTATAATTTGGATTCGTTGTTTTATGTATTTGTTTTATTTATCTTAACATTCTTGGTAGACATTTGACGAGGTAAAACCATCTCTAGCGAGATGACAACCTACTTTCTTTACTATCTGTCGGATCAATTACAATAACAAGTCACACTCGTATTCTGGAAATACAGAAACAGAGATTTTAATGGTCATGCATGTTGAGTGCGCTAGTTCAGTCTTTAAGGAATATGATAAAAATTGGCAAATTGCTTATGTATACCTTTGAAATTGTTTTTGTACAACTTAAAACTGTCC